TAGTGGGATGATTCATGCTGCCGCAGCTTTTCTCTAAGACATCCTGAAAAAGTGTCATTTTGTCAGAAATCTTTGATCTGAAATAGTCTTTCAGAGTTTGATTTCCCAGACTGTGAGACCAGAAGCTGTTTCAGTGCTGCCGCCTGATCCCTCCTGTGTTGTGAAGCTGCGATAGATCCTCTGGAGACCTGCTTGGATTATAAAGTTTCTGCTTGTAGTTTTCACAGGGATGTCCGTCCTCCCTCTCCTTCCCCCGTCTCACTCCTTTATTTTTTCCTCTTCGTCCGTCTCACCTCGTCCCGTTCTTGTCATCTGGCTTTCATACTATTTTCGGCGTCGCGACGAGTTCCACTTTTGAGCAGCGGAGCGGGCTCCTCGGCGCGTTGCCATGACAACGTTCCCATGGATCCACGACACACTTTTGCTCGTCTCCTTCCTCCTCCTTGTCTTCCTGTTAACTTTCTCCTTGCGTCTGTGTCCTCTGGACCTAAAATATGTTCAGGATTGAGTCATCCAAACCCTGTTTTAGAAGTCTGTAACACTGAGGATGCTTTGCTGGAGTGTCCTGAGAGTCAAACTGATGAAACTTGTGCCGTTCATTTCTGAAAAACTTATAATGTGATGATGCTGATACTCAAAGATAAAAGACTGCTGATTCAGATACTGGAAATGTCCCACTGAAAAACGTCCTGCTGTATTTGTTGCTTTGATCACATCAGTGAATATGAGGGACTGCTGAGAGCTGTGTCACCTCCCGAAGTAGCTGAAAGGCATCCTGTGGAGATTTGACCACTAGTCGTGCTGCAGAGCAACGTCTGTCCTGGTTTATTAGATGAGAACTCACACACATGCAGGATTGCAGAGTCCTTTTTGAACACAATGTTTGTTTTAAATTCTTCCAGGAGAAGGCCTCTGCAAGTGTTTTGTGAGGAAGGAAACACATTTTTTAGGCCTCGTGGGTCACACATGCATATTGATGTGAAACAGTAACTATAGAAACATGACTTTGTTTACTACAGATTTATACAATATGCTAACCGGATGTAGACTTTGGTTGAAGTGCCGTTTCTGCCAAGTGTTTTTAGCAGGTTTCTCCTGCTCTCCCGCTTTCTACATGTTCCCTTTTTCAAAATGTCTTTTGCTATTGGAAATAACAACAACGTCCAAGCAGCAGCGTGCACGCTTATAAGGGCAAGTTTTAAAGATTGGGATCGTGCAGTAAAGGAACCCTACTTGGTTCTTTCACCAAATTGGCCATTTTAATGACAGGACTCGTCTCCCTGCATGCAAGTGTTCCCCCAAAGCAAATCCTCTTGACACGATTTTGCAGGGACTCTGTCGCTTCATCCTGGGCTGAGCAATGTCTAAGATAGCTGTGATTGGTTTGCCAGACCATTCTCCAGCGCTGACACAGTGTGGAGACGGGTCCACTTATCTCAGACTAGACAGAATTGTAGTAAGAAGTGTCAGACCAAGCAGTTCTACAAGAAGTCTGGTTAACGACAATTTTAAGATAATTACATGTTTTCTTTTGGCTGTTTTGACTAGAGGTCAAAGTTAATATTCAGTCAGTGCAGAAGTGTCAGTGGCTTTTCAAATGTGAGCATTTGCTAGTTTTCTTTATCATCTGTGAAGATAAACTTCAGCTGTTTTCACACATGCACTGCAGCCCTGAGCTTTTCTAGACATGACCTAGAGAATGCCCATCTTTAAATCAGTCAGGCTGGATATTAAATAGTCTTCACCCTGCCAGCTCCCGAGTACGAGGCCTACGTAATGTCTGATTGAACTCATGTATGACCAGAGCAGGTAATGGTGCAGAGAATTCAAAGGGAGCGTGTCCTGATGTGCATCGTGTCCTGCTTCCTGCACGCTCTGCCCAAACCAAGCCGAGGATTTCCAATAGTGAGAAAAGCATTTGACACCGACAGTCCCCCGTTGTCTGCTGCGTGTGTGAAAGCTTTAATTATCTTAATCCAACACAAAACAAGCGATTTGAGTTTGTAAACTGGAGCTCTGGGATTTTTCACTACTTACTGTCCTTTCTTTGACAAAGAATTGATGGAATAACTGAGACAAAATGGGCCGTTTAATCGTTTTCACGTCACTTACGTCATGCTCCGTGACACTGTGGCTGCTCCGTCCCTGACATGTTGTCTAATCAGAATAACTTTGTGATCTACATTCATCCCATTTCATTGACTTTTTCATTCCTGTTGCCACCTCTCCATCCAGTCACATCATGACTCCATTCAAGAAAGACTTTTGTAGCTAAAAGGTGACTCAGTTGTGCACCAGGTCATGTAAAGAGAAGCTTTAAATGTGCAGGAAAATGAGCAATACAGGTATTTGTTTGGGTCGCCCTTTAATGCTTTGTCTTTCCGTCGGTGGTGTGGCTCACCAGACGGATGCCATTTGCCCTGCAGCTGACCTGAATGTGCTTGTGTGAAGAGACTAAGTGCCTGTGGGTCAAAACGCAGTCGGTTTGTGTGTGTGTGTGTGTGTGTGTGTGTGTCAGAGAGGGGGAGGATCCACATCATTTCATGCATGTAAACCGACATCACAAGCTGAGACTAACTGGCCTCAAAATCTAGCACACACACACACACACACACACACACACACACACACTCTTTTCCTGTTATCTTGCACTGAACACACACTCGCCAATCAAAAAAAAAAACACACACACACTCTCAGAGCAGCCCAGACTTGGGGAAAACCCACTCGGTGTTGGACACCGGGGAGCCAGAGGAAGAGATATTCACCCTTACTGATTTATTCATGAAACCAGGCAGAGATGGAGAGAAGATGTAGCGCCAGAATATACAGGAATGTGAAGAAAAGGACAAGCGGGGAGGGACCCGTCTGATGAGACAAGTAAGAGATGTAGAGCGGCTATCGAGGCGGCAGAGGAGGATGAGAGGAGTGTGTATGTATTATTAAACAGCCGGGGTGTTAGATTATTTACAACAGCTGGAGGAGGAGGAGGTCGATGTCGGCTCACACACACACACACACACACAGGCAGCTGGATCGCACTCTTAAAGACAAGCTGGCACAATCTTAGGTGGTTTGTGTAATTGAATGTCAGAAGCTATTAGAGGGAGAAGGAGCAGGAGGGAGCGAGAGGGAGACGTAAAGAGGACAAACTAGTCACTTTTTATTAAAGTTGGCATGTGTTGCTCCAGTCTGGACAAACATATTAGGGAGCACATGACACACATTTTTGCGCCTGATAAGTGTGTAAATCGATTTCAGATTTGGTATTAGCACGTCTCGCATCGTTACGATTCGGTTTCTGCAGGGTCGCTCACTTTGGCAGTGAATCCCGCTGTTTCTGTTCACCTCCATTCATTCCTCTCATCATGGAAACACTCAGTGTGCCAGTGATTATATCTGCGGCGTGGGAGACGGTGTGAGAGTGGCACGCTTCCAGAGCACTGACCTGGGATGACACACACACTTATGCACGTGCACACTGAGAGAACACACACACACACACACACCAAGAAGTCTCACACACACTTTAATTCTGAGCCACACAGACACACGTGTCGCGTGCACACACAGGCACGAATACACACTCGCACAAAACCGAGGCCCAAAAATAACAAGCGTGTCCCACATTGAGAGTTCACTGTGAACCGAGAGGAGCTGAGCAGCTTCTTCTCACGTGTTTCTGTCTGTCGGTAGCTCCTCTTCACGGCTTTCTTTCTCTCTCTCTGTCTCCTGACAGTTTGCTTCAATTTGCTAAATTTACTTTTATCGGTCAGCGATGTGACGATCAATATATGCAACCTACAAATCTGCTAAACTCCGCTGCACTTCCATATAAGGCTCTTCTCTTGGGTTAATTTGGAAAAAGCTTGGAGAAGTCATGCAATTTCCAGAACATTCAGAGTTACTTAAAATCTTTTCAGTGCAGCTCAGACAGTTCACACTCCCTCAGAAGTAGCACATTTTATTCCTAAAGTTTGAGATTTATTCTAAAAACTTACAGGATTTAACCATAGCTGTGCTATGACTTCACTTTTCTGGTTTGTGGGCTGCTGTTTAGAAGCCTTGAGTCTGGATTTTTGCTGTCGTCATCCTTTGAAATCAGATCTAATGTGCGAGGGCTGTTAGCACGGTAGCAACGCCCCGAAACATACCTGAGCAGCTTAGAATCAGTTATTACACTTCAGTGAAGGCCAGTGAATCAAAACTGTGATCTCAGAGAGGCAAAAAATGTGCAGAGGAAGTGTTATTGTTATGATTTTGATAATGGAAGGTTTATACTCAAGACTTTGATTGTTTTTTGTATGAAATTTATTCCCATATTTCCTTTTTTTGTCCATTTTCAAGGACGTCTGGTTCACCTCATTACATGACATACAGGCTCTGCAGTACATGTACCTCTTGTCTTGTCACCTGGCTGCTCTCTTTCACTCAGCGATGCTCTGTATCACTCCTCCACTCTCTCATTCTTTCTATCTTTCTCTCATTTCCTCGCTCGTCCTCTCTCCGTCTCCCTCCGAGTCCCTCGCGGTTTCTCTGGCCACGGTTGCGGCTCGTTAGCACCATTTAGAAACTTCTTTCCGGCTCATTTGGCTCTTGGCTCGTCCCGGCCGCATTGACATTAAGCAGCGTGATGAGTGACTGCGCCCCACGGCGGACATGACACCTCCGTTTCAATCAGGACTCGCAGCTGAACACCAACCCGTTTTCCTTATCTGCCTGCCCGGCGCTGTAATGTTGTTAGTGTTCTTGTGTTTCCTACAGGGCGTTTAAATACGGTGCTACAGCATGTCGGCTAGTGTCAGAATCTGGTCCTGGTTTTGGGGTGTCAGGTCATATTTAGGGTGTGATGTTGGGAAACTGTACAAATACAAGCGATAGATGACTGACTGTCACTATAGACTAATAAAGAAAGGCCCGAGGATCTAAAAAATAATCTAACTTTAATTTCTCATCCCTCTTTTTGTCTCCCTCCATCACTTCTTCAGGTGTAGACCAGCATGCCGTTGGTGAAGAGGAACATCGAGCCCCGGCATTTGTGCCGTGGAGCGCTGCCAGACGGGGTGACCAGTGAGCTGGAGTGTGTCACCAACAGCACATTAGCAGCCATCATCAAGCAGCTGGGCAGTCTGAGTGAGTACCCTGTAGGAGCAGAGCACGATCCATCATGATGCTTTATTTATTTTTTATTCCACTATTCTAGCATTAGCATTGTAGCCCAGGATTTTAGCCCGTTGCTAACATGGGACCTAATATGGTGATGGTTTCACAAAGACATTTTAGACTGGTCTCTGGTGTTAGACTGGGTAATAAAATGTCTGTCAACCCTCCTACTATCTTAGGGGTCAGTTTGACCCCAGTCAGTGTTTAACGTCTCTAAATAAATGATTCACATATTTTTTTCTGTTTTATTTAAAGGGCTATTTACACATAAAATTGGGTAACAATTTTAATTATGAGAATTTTGTGTAGGTTTAAATTGCTGGGGTTAAATTGACCCCAAGGATCAAAGATGTCAGTAAATTGAAGGCAATAGGAGGGTTAAGACCAGCATAAATATCATATATTTTAAATTTAACAACCTTGTTGTAAATATAACCACTTAATTTATGAAGGTACACCGATAATAGTGTTAATAGTAACACAACAATGGAAAACTCACACAAACAAATCAATTTTACACACAAACAAAAATAAATAAAGATCAAGAAATGATCTCACCTGAGCTGAAGTGAACTTTGCATTTTCATCGTCTGCTTTTATGAAGGTTTGCATCTAATGCATTTAAATGAAACTATTGAACTAATTTCTTATTGCTACTGATGAGACGTAGTTGGTCTAAAATTAGCTCTTAGTCTTATTTCAAGCATCAGTCGTGAACCCACAGGCTAAAAACTAAGACCTAAGTTTCCATGGCAACATTTTGTGGCACCAGCTAACAAAAACTGGGAAAACATGACTCATCATTTGTGGTTTGCCGATAACATCACGGAGAAAGCTGTTGGAAATTCCCATTGGTCATATTTTTGTTCTTATATTGATGCTTTCTTTGTTGAATTTTCACAGTAAAATGCCCTTTTAGATGCTAAATTATTCAGTGCGCATGTGAAAAGAGGTGATTGATTTCATGCAGTTGTTTGTTCAAATTTTTAGTTTATACAGAAGTGTGTTTACCTACTATTCATCAGAAATTAGTCAAGAAATACACAGGTTTGTGCAACACATGGATTTAAATGTCTGTCTGACGTCTGACTAGCAGTTAGATCTAAATCCCTGTTGAATGACCGACCATCACTGCTATGGCTGAATATACACATGTGCACTCAGTCATACAGCTGCAAAATGTTATAAAAACAGGCTTCAGGGTGACAAATTAAAGGAAAAAACAACATCCAGTGTCTTCATGAAGCTGCCAGAACAGCTTCAACCCGTATCAGTATAGAACTGTGTCATCATAGGATAAAGATGATCACTCAGAACAATCTGGTTTGCAGATCTTCCAGCTCCCCTCCATTAAAAGGTGAAACGTTCAGGTTTTTCCTTTAATTTATTAGCCGCCTGTGTCTGATTGAACTACACAGAAAGTATCTTACAAAGAGTTTCCGGCTGGACTTTTATAGTGAAGCGGATCTTTGGCGTTCACGTTCGGTCACATGTGCCCGACACACTCGTGAGCAGTCACTTCTCAGCGTGTCATCCTCAGCAAAACTAATGAATTCAGAGCTACGATCCTGGAAGAGATCGCAGGACACGTGTTTAGTTGTGATAAGGCCATGTTTGCACATTTTTCTATTTGTCTTTCAGTTTAAGTCGAGGCAAATAACGTATAAGCAAAGATGTTTGGTGGAGTTAGCTTGTGCTTTGGTTTATTTTTATTCCACACAGTTGCCTGCTCTCTCTGTAACTCTCGTTACAAAGACTGACTTATGGTAAAAACACAATCACACAAGTTTTCTCCACTTCAACATCCTCTCCTCGTGTATTTACTTCTGTTGAGATTTCTCACTCTGATCAGCCATGAAAATATTCACAGCTTTTCTGAGTTGCACCACCTGAACCTACAAAGATCATTCAGTTGAAATGTGTAGGGGAAAAAAAAAAAAGACTATTTAAATTTGATTAACAGTTCGAGGCTAAATGAAATTCAGCGACAGCTCGCTGCGAATGAGTGAACGCGCTGCCTCTGCTCCATCTGTCATGTTGTGGGCTGAGACATGGAAACAGAACCAAAGAGATGGAGGAATATTCAGGTTACGTGGCTGGCACTTGTGTATGTGTATTATGTGGTTTGGAGGTGACGGTGTTATTGAGAAAAGGCTGCGTTTCTGCTTCTCGGTAAAGGCATTTGAATTTCTCTCCATCTCTGTCAGACTCAAACACGTTCTCTCAAACACAGAACGGTTCTTTTAAGCATTCGTGCCGACAGGTGAGCAGCAGCAGGAGGTGGTCGGTCCTGCTGAGGCAGACGGTGGAGGAGAAGGACGGGATCGACTGACCTCAATCTCTCTGAATTCCTCTTCTCATACATCACCCGTGTTATCGGGCTATTTTTGGACAGTGCTTAACTCTTTTATTTCACCTGCATCGCAGCTGAGAATTGTGGAAGTCATCATCATTCGTGTTGCCTTGTGCCTGTTGCCCAGTCTGCCCCAGAGAACAATTCAAATAGGAAGGCCATTATTTTAAGTCTGATTAACGGGTGCATGAAGCTATTTTACATTATAGCACCAGGCAATTATTCAGTCTGAATAAAGCTTGTAAATGAACCTTCAGTCTGGAACTTTTTAATGAAAAATGTGTAGTCAAGGTCAACAATGGATCTCTCTGCTAACAGGAGCAGCTGCAGGCGTCATGTTGTCATATTTTTATAATAGTTAATGACTGACGAGCTGGAATAAACTTTAACAACAACATTAGGACTGACTGTATGTAAAAGAGCTGCAGGGTGGCGCAGTTGGTAGCACTGTTGCCTCAAAGCAAGAAGGTTGCCGGTTCGCGTCCCGGTGGGGACTGCGTGGA